CTAAAAATACAAAAATTAGCTGGGCATGGTGGCAGGCGCCTGTAGTCCCAGCTATTCTGGAGGCCGAGGTAGGAGAATTGCTTGAACCCAGGAGGCAGAGGTTGCAGTGAGCCAAGATCATGCCAGTGCACTCCAGCTTGGGTGACAGAGTGAGGCTTTGTGTCAAAAAAAGAAAGGCAAAAATGCATGAAACTTCCAGATGGAAACTTTCTGTCCCATGCTCCATGCAGATGCTCCATGGGGTTGAAGTTCAATATTTCTTGTGGAATGTCATTTCTCATCTCTCATGATTCTCTACAGAACTGAGGCTTCCAGGGTGCCTTGCATTCTAGTCAGCCATGTTCCAGGGAGCAGGGAGCTCCTTGAACCAGAAGTCCTGAGATTGAGTCCTGGGACTGCAACTCTATAACTGCACCAGACCAATCTGATTCAACTTTTATGTAACGAAGTTGTGAGTTGTTTTCAGTTGCCATGGACCTCTAGGTTCAGGGTCACACAACCTGGGCACGCCCAGATACACCAAGCACGCAGCCAGGGACGGAACCTAAGTGCTCGGGCCAGGAAGTGGGGACTAAATTAAGAAGTGGACACAGCATGATCCAGGATCCAATCAGATTGAGCCCTGGCCTCACCCAATGGCAGGATCCAATCAGATCACACCTCCTGGCATCACCTGACGGGAAGAGCCAATCAGATATTACCCTATGCTTATAAAATCTGAACTTGCCTTCAGCTGGGAGACAGATTTGAGTGTTTCCTCCTGTCTCTTTGCCATTGAACTCACAATAAACCTTCTCGCTGCAAAAACTCAGTGCCTTGGTGTTTGGCTTTCTGTTGCATGTGGGCAATAGACCCAGCTGGGTTCAGTGACTGAGCTAGTTGGCAGGGAGCTCAGGACTCGATGCAGTGCTCAGGACTCCACTCAGTGAGCTCCCTGGGAATGCATCCTTCATTGTCAGATTTTCCAAGGAGGAAACCGAAGCTCACCATGATGAAGGGGAGACCCGTGGTCACAGCTGGTGAGTGGAGGAGTGACATCCAACCCAGGCGTGTGGCATACTCGACCCTGAGCGCCAAAACATTCTTGCTAGAACCATGACAACAGCATCAACAACAACAAATAACAGTGACTGGGTGTTTGCCCTGTGCCAGGCATTATTCTGAGTGCTCCATGGGAACCATCCTGACCACCCCATGAGGGAAGTGCCCTTTCAGATCTCATCTTGCAAATGAGGAAACTGAGGCTAGCAAGCAGTCAGATGGGCATGGGAGCCCAGGAGGCCTGCCTGTAGGAGCTGAGAGCTCACCACTGCACCACACTGTTTAGTGGGCCAGTCTGTCCTCTGATCCCAGCCGACAGGTTCCCCTAGGTTCTGGTGGTGAGAGGTATGTTGGTTTCTATGCTGTGTAACAAATTATCATAAACCTAGTGGCTTCCACAACACCCATTCATGATTTGTTTTAATGGGTCATGAGTCTGGCGCATTCTAGCCGGTCCTCTGCCCAGCACCTGACAAGGCTGCAGTCAAGGTGGTGGTTGGGCTGCATTCTCATCTGGAGTCTCAACTGGGAAAAATCTGCTTTCAAGCTCCCTCTGGTTGATGGCAGGATTCATTTCCCTGCAGCTGTAGGACTGAGGCCCCTGTTTTCTGGCCAGCTGTTCGCTGGGACTGCTGTCACTTTCTAGAGATCACTCACAGGTCCTTACCACATGATCCCTCCCGGGGCCCTTTCTCACTTCCAGTCTCTGACTTCAAGAAAGGCTCAGTTCCTTTTAGGAGCTCACCTGCTTAAGCCACGCCCACACAGACCAACTCCCTTTTGAGCAACCCCAAGTCAACTAAGTAGTGATTTTCTCATGCAGTCCTGCCGGCACCGCAGGGAAGGGGGTTACACAGGGAGTCCACAGCAGGGGCTGGGGTTCTCCACCATGTTAGAATTCTGCCTCCCACAAGGGACAGGGTTTTTTCTGTGCTGTGAGGGAACACCAGGGCTGTCTCTGGAAGGATTCCCAGACACACTGCCTGAGAAAGAAGTCAGCAAGAGGGATGGGCTCCATTCCAAAGCCTTCCCTCAGCCAGCTTTGGGAATTTCTCCAAGCCTTGGGCACTGTGTTTGGTAATCAAGTGTGGATTCAGCTCCTGTGTGGCTGTAACTTTTGCATACTGGGAGATAGCATACTGCTGAGGGCTCTTTCTGTGTGAGTGATACAAAACCAGACTCAACTGGCTTGAGAAAAATGATTTGTATGTAACTGAAATGATCTAGGCCCTGGGTGGCTTCAGGCACAGCTGGATCCAGGGGCTTAAATGCTGTCATCAGGACTTGGTTTTTCTCTAACTCTGACTCTGCCATCTTCTTTAGTAAGCCCTGGAGCCCAGGGCTTACCTCCTGCCACCTCCCCTTCCTATAGAAAGTCGGATTCTTTCTTCCCAATAGTGGCAAAGAATTAACTCCTGTTGGACTGATGTGAGTCATGTTCCCATCCCTAAGCCAATCAGTGAGGCCTGTGGGATGAAAGAATCTGACCGGCCAGGACTGAGTCACAAGGTGGCTTGGGCTTTGACAGTGGGGTTTTCCCTGCCCAGACTGCAGGGATTCAAGTTGTGGTAGGGGGTCCTCTCAGAAAATCCTGAGTGCTGTTCCAAAAAATGTGGCAGTGCAGACTGGGGGTGGGGAGTGCGGCAGTGCGGACGGGGTGGGGGGGGGGAGGTGGGGAGTGCGGCAGTGAGGATGGGGTAGGGGGAGGGGAGTACAGCAGTGAGGACGGGGGCCGGGGCGGGGGTGGGGAGTGCAGCAGAAACAACATTTGGTGAGAAAGTGGATGGTGTAAGAACCTAAGCACCTCCCATCCCACACCATCCAGGGGCACCTGAAGGGATTATGAAGCCAGTGGGGCTGTGGGGGAGGGAGTTAGTAGCTGCTCCCCGAGGTGGGTGAATAGAGGGAGGGGCAGCAGGAATGCAATGGTCCCGGGGGAAGAGGGAGACTTCCCAAGACAGGGAAGGGGAGGAGAGGTGTCTGCCTGTGGAGACCGTCTTCCCCGGGCACTGCCTCCCAGGGACACCAGCCTCCCCCAGTCTCAGGGACTCCAGGTATTGTCAAGTTCTCCAGCCTCAGCTCAGACAGAGGCTGCAGTTCCACCCTGTCTGGGGGTCGCCAGCCTCTGACAGTGAGCACTTAAAGGTGGGCAGTAAGGACTGAAGACCAGACGACACCTGAATGTTCCACCTAGGGCAAGACCTTGAGTCTGTACATCACCTGGGGGCGGGGGGCAGGACTGGCTGTGTGATTTGTAAGGCCCAGTGCAGAATGAAAATGTGGAGCCTCTGGTTCAAAACGATGGAGGATTTCGAGGCAGCAGAATGTTACAGCAAGGCGGCACTCAGCGCTCGCGGCCTGTGGGGCTGCCCGGCACTTCCCTGTGTGAAATCAAGTTTCATTTGACTTAGAAACGGAGTCAGGTAATGCCTCCTGCCCTCCCTGGGGTGTCCGTTTTACCCCGGGGACTTCTTCTGGGCCCCTGACGTCCTGGCTCTGAGGTGAGGGAGACACTCGCAACCCTGCTGGCCTGGCCGGGAGGAGCCCAGAGCCACCACGTCAGACGGATGAACCTGAGAGGGACGTGAACCTGGGTTCAGACACTGCCGTTGCTGCGGGTCAGCAGCTGTTCACCCGTGAAGCAGCCTCAGGTGGGCACCGTGACTGTTAGGAGAGCTTCTGCATGGCGTGGGTGTACGTGATGCGGGGTGCGGCCGCTCTGTAATTGCTCTGCAATCCAGATGCCCTGTGTTGGGGGCCGGCTTGGTGTGAGGTGAGGAGTGAACCCCCGCCCTAGGCTCCCTCCTGCCACCCGCCTCCCACCACCAGCCTTGGCTGCCTCCCTTCTGTCACCAGGGTCCCTTTGCTTTGTGCTGGGAAGACCTGCCACCTCCCTCTCCCGTGTGCCCCATGTGAAGGCATCCCATGGGTCCCCAGGTGTAATTGGGCAGGAGCCTTCCCCAAGGCACATCCCTGAGTCTGCAGGCCTGGGGCCTGTCCTCCTGGCCTCCATGGGCCAGAGGTGTCCCAGGGTTGTCCTGGGAATGTCCCCTGAACCGCAGGGTCCTTCCACTGCTGGGTTCCATCCTGCAGCATGGTTAATGGGCATGTAGATGGCACAAAGTGCCCAGCTGCTTCCCAGAGCAGAGTGGACATGGCCTGGCTGGGAGCTGGTTCTCTTCTGGGGCTATGGGATGCAGGGGAGTGCCCTGGGGAGCAGTTGACACTGTGCGGGCCGCAGGCCACTGACTGCTTTATCTCCTGTAACTGCCTGGTGACAGCTTGACTTTTCCCAGAGCTCCTCCCACTGCCCTTCTTGATAATGGGGTGGGTCATTCTGACTTCTTGATTGATTTGCACTTTGACCAAAGGGGAACCCCGGGAGAGGCCAGAGGAGCCAGGCTTCTGGGGTGAAGGCGTCTGTTGAAAGCTGTCTCTGGGTCGCACTGTCTGAAAGCCAAGTGACCCCTGAGGAGGCTGGCTTTGTGGGCATGTGACTTGGGTGGTGATTTAGTCACCTGCACTCCGGAAGGACCCCACATGCCAAAGGACCCCACACTCCAGAGGACCTCAGGATTGGTTTAATGACCTACTGGTCCCTGCCTCCAAATTGTTAATACCCTTGAACAAGGGCCTTTCATTTTCGTTTTGCACTCGGCCCTGCAAATTACGCAGCTGGTCCTGCCCCTGAGCTGCCCCTGGCCCTGAGCTGCCCCTGGCCCTGAGCTGCCCCTGGCCCTGAGCTGCCCGCACCACAGGCTTCTTACCAACAATTTGGGAATGGCTGTTTTCTCCTGACTGATGCCCCTTGTCGTGGCTTCTGGGAGCAGTTCATTCCTTCTGGTTCCGAGTCGGTCCTGAGCCAGGCTGCAGAACCCAGAACCTCCTAGTCCACAAAGGGCAGTGGTTCCTCCTGAGGAGGCAGGGAGAGGACAGGGTGTGCTGTGTCCACATCCTCCTCCCTCCCCAGACAGCGTAAGCCCCCAGAGTGCCTGGGGCGGGAGTGTGGCCATCCTCGGGGCCCCTCGGTGGGGACCACATGTGGTTAGTGCCGGGAGCTGGCCTGGGCCTTGGCATCCATCCCCTCCTGGCCTCCCTGCAGATGGAGGGACTGACCGTGCCAGGGTTCCCAGGGCTGGGTTCTGAGGGAGCTTTTTAAAGCCACTTCCTGGGCCGGAAAGAGGAGGACACCAATTAAGTGCCTGGCTGAGGCCTGAGACCCAAATGGCCTTGAGTCCAATCTTTCACTTAAAGTTCAAGTTTCCAAGAACCTGTCAAAGATGGTAAGTGAGGACGGACTGCACTTGACTTTTGGGATAGAAGAGAGGGAGGCACGGGAGGGAGAGAGAGGAAGGGTTTTTACCCCGTGGAGGGGTGAGTCCTGGCCCAAATCCTAGCTCTGCTCTGGCTGTGACTCTGGCCCTGGCGTCCTTCTCTTGAAAGTGGGGCTGCTGATGGTGCTTGACCGATGGGGTGGTGTGAGGGGCACAGGGCCTGCTCCTGCGGAAGCTCAGACCCTGCGGTTTCTCTGTTTCTTAAAATACAGCCAAGCTGGGATCTTTGCAGAGATCCCTCAATTTGGGACTCCTTCCAAAGGACACATCTTCCAACACTGGAAGAACCTTTCAAAGAACTCCCCAAAGGTGAGGAAAAAACACACACCACATTTTAGTTACAGAGAAGTAGGATTCGGGGAAGAAGTCAGAAAGAAAGTTTCCACTTTTTGCTTTCTACCCGTAGCTATCTCTGAGTGCCCTGGGGCTCCTTGAGCACTTCGGGGTTGGCCTTGAACTTTGAAGAAGAGTGGGAAGGCAGTAAAGAGAATCCTCGTCTGTGCCTCACTCAGCTTGAATTTCCCATAATGTTGTCCTCCCACTCGATGACCAGGGCACATTTGTCCGGGCTAAGAAGGCAACATTGCTACATTACGACTCACTCAATTCCGGACTTAGCTGGAGTTGGCCAGCGTTTCCCGAATGTCCTCTTCCTGTTACAGGAGCCCGTCCAGGACACCACGTCCCACTCAGTCTTCTCGTCTCCTTAGGCTGCTCTGGTCTGTGACAGTATCTTACCATTCCTTGCTTTTGATGAACTTGACTGTTTTGGGGAGCACAGCTCAGATGCATTGGGAAATGCCCTCCAATCCGAGTAGGTCTGCTGTTTCCATCATGGTTAGACCTGGATGATGGGTTTCTGTCACATGGTATCAGTAGAGGGTACATGATGCCCACATAGCCTTGTTTTTTACTTTTAGGAAATTCTGGAAATTTCAACGATCCCGCATATTTCTTATGGGGTGTGCGCATGTGTCTCACCATCATGTGTGTTAAGATGTTAACACCACATTAGCCTGCAATTCATCTTGCTCAGTCTCAGAGTCGGGGCAGTCCCCACACCCAAGAGACCCCTGTGGTTAAGCCTGAGGGAGGGCAATGGGGATTGGTTATGGGATGGTCCCTTGGAACCTATGAACGTGGCCTTATTTGGGAAAAGTGTCTTTGCAAATGTGGTTTAGGATCTCAAGATGAAGTCCCCCTGGATTAATGTGGGCCCCAAGTCCAATAATAGGTGTCCCTAGCAGAGAGGAGAGGGTAGGCACAGGAGAAGCCCACGTGAAGTCGCAGGCAGAGATTGGAGCACTGGGGTCACAAGCCAGGGACACCTGGAGTCCCCAGAAGCTGGCAGAGCCCAGGAAGGATCATCCCCTAGTGCCTCTGGAGGGAGTGTGACTCCGTCCACACTTCACTGTGGACTCCTGAGCTCCAGAACTGGAAGAGAATAAGTTTCAAGCAACCCTTTTTGTGGTGATTTGTTACAGTAGACATAGGAGGCGAATACGGGCACCATAAATTGCTATTATTATTATGATTGCTATTCCACCTGTCCTTCAACTGAAAGGCACATCCCGTGTCAGCTGGGTGTAGCACTGCCGGGCTGTGTGCAAACTCCCTGTGACCATCGACACCACAATGTTAACATCTTTCTGCACTCAGGGTCCTCCGGCTCTGCAGGCTGCCTTCCTTCAGGCCTGTCCTTGGTGGGTGTAGCACCTCTGTCGCTACCTCCCTTGCTACATGATCTTTGAGGAAACTTTTCTGACATCCTGCAAGCTGTCTTGACCAATTTCCTTGCTGAAATCAGACCTCATCACAAATATGGAACCACACAGCTGCTTGATTTCCTGGAGGTTGTACGTCCCCCACTGGGTGTTTAGAAAATCATCAGGCTCAGCTGGGCATGGTGGCTCATGCCTGTAATCCCAGCATTCTGGGAGGCCAAAGCGGGCAGATCACGAGGTCAGGAGTTCAAGACCAACCTGGCCAACATGGTGAAACCCCATCTCTAGTAAAAACACAAAAAATTAGCCAGGCGTGGTGGCAAGTGCCTGTAATCCCAGCTACTTGGGAAGCTGAAGCAAGAGAATCATTTGAACATGGGAGGCGGAAGTTGCAGTGAGTAGAGATTGTGCCACTGCACTCCAGCCTGGGAGACAGTGCAAGACTCAAAGAAATAAAGAAAGAAAGAAAGAAGAAAGACAGGAGGGAGGGAGGGAGGGAAGGAAGGAAGAAGGGAGGGCGGGAGGGAGGCAGGGAAAGAAAGCAAGAAAGCAAGAAGGAAAGAAAAAAAGAAAGCCATCAGGCTGAAGTGGGGGAGGCTGGCAGGCACTTTGGTGTGTGTCCTGGGAACTAAGTCCTGGGGACTTACTAGGCACAGCCTCCAGTTCACACAGGCAGAAGAAACCAGAGGGTACAAAAGAATGTTTTGCATCTTTTGGGGGGAATTTGGCTAAAAGTGAGTCCTCAGGGGAGATGCTAGTGGGGAAGAGACCAGGGTTAAGAACGTATTCTGAAGGCGACCGAGCTGCCACGAAGCTCGCTCCACTGAGTGCTGGGCACTGACCTTGAGCCAGCCACTGACCTTGAGCGAGTAAGCCACGCCGCTTCCCCAAGCCATGCCGCCTCCCCAAGCCTCACTCTGTTCATCTGCAGAAGGGGATGATGATGGTACCGGCAGCACAGGGCTGTTGGGAAGTGCAAGCGAGACGATGCTGACATTCGATGGAGCACTGTGTGTCGGTGCTGTCCCCAGCTCCTGCTGAAACTGTGCAATCCATCACTCTGGACACGAAGGGAAGGCGGCCTCGCGCACCAGCTGTGGCTCACTTGCCGTACTACAGGGGACACCTCCTAGGACTACCATTGGCATAGTTTGGAGTGAAATCGCCCCGACCAGGCACTAACTCTCCTGGAAGAATCTGGTGCTTTCCAATCCAGAGAGCAACTTGGCAGAGCCTGATTCCTTCCTGCTGCCCACCAGCCCCTGTGCGGGTCCTTTGGGTTCTGAAGAGTAGGCAGCAGAGGCTGAAGTGTCCCGGGCTGGCCACACCGGCTCCTTATCTCTCCAGGGCCCACGGCCAAGTCCTCTGCTGTGTCTTTTCATTGGGTTCCTTGTGCCCAGGCCCCCACGGTCTGGATCTCCTTCCCTCTCTGCCCAGATCCTCCAAAGCCCACGTTCCCATCTCCTAAATGGCGCAGGGTTGCCATAAGGATTGTGTTCCAGCAGTCCTTCTTTGCTTGCTTGGGGTGTGGATGTGGGAAGGGTGCTGCTGGTATGAGTGACTGGTCCCCTGCTGCTATCCAGGCCAGACAAGGACTTCCCTGGCCCACCTGGCCAGTTGAGAATAATGGACAGCAGCTGCTCATTGGCTAATGCGTGGGATCTCCATGCTGGCCAGGGCTGGGGGCTTTCCAGGTGTTCACTGAGCGCCGTCACCTGGGTCCTGCCTGCCTCAGTAACCCCTTTCCCTAAGCCTTTCTCTCTGAAGAACTCTGCCTGAACACCTTCCTGGATTTACCAGCCCATCCGATCCTCTTACTCCTCAAACCCAGTTCAGGACTTACCTTCAGTGACCCAGCCCAGCGCCCGGCAGGTTTTCCTGCATCTTCGCAGCTTCCATGGCATTGATTTGAACTCACCTTTGCTTCCCTCCTGACAATAACGAGTAATTTTTTTTTTTTTTTGAGACAAAGTCTTGCTGTGTCGCCAGGCACCAGGCTGGAGTGCAGTGGTGTGATCTCGGCTCACTGCAACCTCCGCCTCCCGGGTTCAAGCGTTTCTCCTGCCTCAGCCTCCCGAGTAGCTGGGACTACAGGAGCACGCCACCACGCCCAGCTAATTTTTGTATTTTTAAGTAGAGACGGGGTTTCATCATGTTGGCCAGGATGGTCTCGATCTCTTGACCTCATGATCCACCCGCCTCGCCCTCCCAACGTGCTGGGATTACAGGCATGAGCCACTGCGCCCGGCCCTTTTTTTTTGAGATGGAGTCTCAGGCTGGAGTGCAGTGACCCAGTCTCAGCTCACTGCAACCTCCACCTCCCGGGTTCAAGCGATTTTCTTGACTCAGCCTCCCAAGGAGCTGGGACTACAGGCATGTGCCACCATGCCTGGCTAATTTTTGTATTTTTAGTAAAGACGAGGTTTCACCATGTTAGCCAGGCTGGTCTTGAACTCCTGACCTTGTGATCTACCTGCCTGAGCCTCCCAAAGTACAGGTATTACAGGCATAAGCCACAGTGCCCAACCAATAACAAGTATTTTTAAGACCCCCCAAGACACTTCTGTGTATATTATTTAATCCTCACAATATACCTGCCAGGTGGTGATGTGGGTGACTGGCCCCATTTCATGGGGAAAAACTGAGGTCCCCAGAGCTTAGGCTGCCGCCCAAAGCCATGCAGCCAGCAAGGGGCAGCAGTGGGGCTCTGGCCAGTGCAGTGGTCATTCAGAGCCTGGGTTTCTTCCTGGAGTCCTTTCTAGACCCTTTCTAGAGCCCTTCAAGCAGGGCAGGGGTGAGGTAAGGTGAGTGAGGCCCTTCCCTCCGACACAGAAAGCTGAGTCATTAAGATAAATACCATTTTCATGCAAAATTGATGCAAAAAATCCAGGATATACAAAATATCAAAATGTTCAAATAAAGCCAGGCTGCAACCCTGCCCTCGCGCTGCCCGGCCTCACTTGCTCTCCCTACACCCAGCCCTGGCTCCAGTAAAACGTTCCTTACAAACACAGATGACCAGCCTGCGGGCTGTGGTCCAACCATTTGAATTTTCATACAGAAGGTTTCAGGTATGTGCTCTTTCCCCACCACCTGCACCCCACATTTTTACTATGAAAACTGTCAAGCACGTGAAGAAAGAGGAAAGGGGATAAATGCCTGCTGTGTCTGTCCTTTGTATCCCCCACCCTGGATCGTAAGGCATAGTGCCTCAGACTCACGCTGCTCCAGGCAGGGGCCTTGGAGTGCAGCGGTCGAATACTTGGTACCAGGGTGGCGTTTCTGGTCCACCCTGACCCGACGGGTCAGGATCCGCACTTTTGTTTTTTGTATTTGGGCTCTGGAGTACATGTGCACATCCTGCATCCTGCAAGATTGTTGCATAGGTACATACACGCCATGGTGGTTTGCTGTCTCCATCCCCTCCCCGTCGCATACATCAGGCATTTCTCCCGGCGTTATCCCTCCCCATCGTCCCTGCCCCCCACTGTCCCTCCCCGCAACCCGCACCTACCCCAGTGAGGGTTGTTCCCTTCCCTGTGCCCAAGTGTTCTCATTGTTCGTCACCCACCTATGGGTGAAAACAGGCGGTGTTTGGTTTTCTGTTCTTGTGTCAGTTTGCTGAGAAGGATGGTTCCTAGATTCATCCATGTCTGTACAAAGGAAACCAACTTGTCGTTGTTTATGGCTGCACCGTATTCCATGGTGTATATGTGCCACATTTTCTTTATAAAGACACTTGCACACGTATGTTTGTTGCGGCGCTGTTTACAATAGCAAAGACCTGGAACCAACCCAAATGCCCGTCAATGACAGACTGGACACAGAAGGCAGGATCTGCACTTCTAAGATTCCCTGGCATTCTCTAGCACAGTCAGGTGTGATAAGCGTTGGCATGGCTCAGGCTTTGCCAGGAGATGGGACCTGTGTTCACATCCTAGTTCCAGCACGTTTTGGGTGTTCAGCTGGGTGGTGATTGTAGGTGCTGCTTTGGATTGCGGCTTTGGGTTGTGCTGCTAAAACTCATTTAATAATAATAAGAGCTCAGTGGCTCTCAACCTGTGACTCTGCTCTCCAGGGGATGACTGGCAACGTCCAGAGACAGTTTTGGTTGTCAGTCCTGGGGTGCGGCTGGGTGCAGTGGCTGATGCTTATAATCTCAACTTTTTGGGAGGCTGAGGTGGGAGGATCAGTTGAGCCCAGAAGTTTGAGACCAGCCTGGGCAATATGAGAACTCGTCTCTACAAAAAAATAAAATACAAATTAGCTGGATGTGGTGGTGTGCCCCTGTAGTAGCTGCCACTCAGGAGGCTAAGGCAGGAGGATCCTCTGGGCCCAAGAGAGTGAGGCTGCAGTGAGCTATGACTGTGTCACTGCACTCCAGCTTGGGTGACAGAGGGAGACCCTGTCTGAGGAAAAAAGGAACAAACCCAGGTTGGGGGTGTTGCTGGCATCTAGTGGGTAGAGGCCAGGAATGCTGCCAAATCCCCTGCAAGCCATGAGACAGCTCCCCCCCATAGCAAAGAATGATCCAGTCCACATGTGAGTAGGGTCGAGGCTGGAAAACTGTGCAACTGCCTAGTTGTCACTGTTATGATGTCTGCTTTGCAGAGACGGAAACAGAGGCTTAAAGAGGGGAGGGTTCCAGAGCCACCACCCAAACGATAGGTGGAGGGGCCACGACAGACCCTTCGGAGGGCCACCGTGAGAATCAAACAAGTGCTTGCATCGATGTCTTACAAAGCAGCTACTCTGCGTGAAGTGCTAGGATCATGTAAGTCAGCCCTGGCACACAGTAGGCATTCAATAAATGCTGCTGCCCCTTGTAATAGAGCTGCACGACATTCGCTGAGCACTCAGAAAGGATGTTGTGGCCATTGTCCACGAGGTTCCAATGAC